TGATCTGAGCAATCTTCCCAGAATTTTATTCCTCGTTACAAACACACACATGATAGGATAGCTGCCTATGTATCACCATCAATACCATACTGAGTTACTACCTTATACTCCAAGCAAAAGTAGGATGTATTTCGCTTGAAGAGTGATTCCAGTTGGTTTTAAATCTAGACAGATAAAACATACAATTTGAGTGGAGTGCTTATTTTTTGTGAAGAGTGCTACACTAATACAATTCCAATTCTGAAACAAGTATCTTTCAGAATTTGCTTAAGCCAAACTGTGATCACATTCTGTTACTGAAAGGTTCCTGATAACTCCATCCTTGGGCTGCACCTAACAATTATCAGATCTGTAGGAGTTTGCTGATCCATCTGAAAACTAAGTTTGGGAAGAAAACCCCAAACCCAATACACCCAACAACATAGAAAAAAAAACCCACCACAACAAACCACACACCCCAGATTGGTTCACGGATCCAGTTGGGAACTATCTTATCCATTCTGCAACCACAGCCTAGAACCAATACAACCAAGAGCTTGGGGGAGAATTTACTTGAGGCATGATCTTAATTCAGACAAAATCAATCATGACATAGAAGATACTATATGCCTAACAGCAGACCCAATTCTCATTCACCAACTGGTCCTGCCAGAGCAGTACAAATTAATTTTAAAGTGGATGTAAATGGACCAGGTATGTTTAAAACATACTCTTGGCATGCATCCTCAATTGGAGTAAACTGCCATTGACTTCAAAGGAACTACAGATCTACCCTTTGGACGTGTTTTTCGAGACTATTACTTTAGGCAATGAAAAAAGGAAGGCTCCTAAGTAGTTTAAAACATACAGTGATTAATTTCTCTCCTTCAAAACATTACAGACTATGTGTGGGATGCTGAAATGAATTTGGGGCTTACATATACTCAAAGGATTTATTGAGAGTGATTGAAATAAATACAAAAAACAGAAGATGCAAATCTAAATCAAGAGAAAAGTGAATATAAAATAAAAATACATTTCTGTGAACTTTCAGATTTTTTTCAGAATAACCTAGTTTATATTTGCTATTTGTCCCCATTTATGGGATAAATTCTTCAATGTCCTTCAAGAGATACTAATTTCAAAAATATTTCTGCTAGGAAAAAAAATAATATGTTAATTCCTCTGCTTTTATACAAAACTAGAAATTGTATTGTTGTACTTTATTCTTTTACACATAAAAATCCCTGTATGTGAAAACTTGAAAAGATCATGAAATTGCAAGCTTTCATACCATCTATCTCACAGTCCACATATCACTTAACACTCGCCTGTTTCTCTATCCCAATTGCTGCACTTTAGTGCTCAGATGATCAACTTTGAGTTTGCTTTATAATCTCTTGTTTTTCTACTGAGTCACTTCTGCTTGTTCCACCACTGGGTTTACCTTAAGAGGAAGTTCTCCGTTTTTCTTTCTCACATACAGATTTCCCTCAAAAAATAATGTATGCACGAGAGGAAAGAGTTGGACTGGCACAGAAGGCCACATATTCCAGGACACTGGGACAAGGAATCCTAGAACATTTTGCACTACAGTTTTCACCCAGAGTCAAATCCCTCTATTGACAGGTTAGCTCTTAGCATGAGCAAGTCAACTGGAAAAGTGGATGAGGAAAGAAAAAACCTCCTAATATAGCTCCTGACTCCTTAATATTTAATCCATAAAGCAGCAAGGTACTTTGTGTCATCACAATATTTTCTAGTAGTAGGTACATATAAGAATCATAATATATGAGCCATCACTAACACTCACATGTGCAAAGAACTGGCATTTGATTATTTACAAAATTGCATTAAAAGAAGATAAGGAGTCCTCATAGCTTTCCTTCTTCACATAAAGAGGTATTGTAGCTGCTACAGAGATATTACAAGTCTTTATGGGAAAGAGGCTTGAATTAAAATAATCTGTTTTATGTAAAGGTTTGAAAAATCCTCTTAGAGAGTAACATCATAAGACTAAATTTAAAGTTTTGAGGCTAGGCGGAAGATGGAGTTTGATCTGGCCTGAAAAGTGGGACTAATAAATTCTTATAAACCAATGTTATCATGCAAATTGAATTAGAAGGCTCACACCTCTAATTAAAGAAATTAATAGTGAGACCAAGGTAGAAGGTAGGTAGTCTAGAAATAGGCAGCAACACCACTTTGTTTTTATTCTGTAGGAAAAGAAAGTAGCAGTAAAAGATGCATTTTGTCTAAGCACACTAGTTAGTTCCTGGCTCTCTGATTACATAGATCAGATTTACTTTCTACATATCAAATCAGATTTAAACAGTAGACATGAACCCAGCTGCTCAAGGTGTGCTAATTCTGCACACCTACAAATGTAAAACCCAAATGATGTTCACACCATAACAATACTCGCATTGAAAAGTTTTAGAGTACCTAAATTCAGAGGAAAATGATGCGTACAAATCTGGAATCTTAATTTTGACTGTTAGGTCTGGTTTATGTGCTCAGCTATGATTTGTTTAGACTTGGCATTACTGACCGGGCATTTCTGAATTTTCATTAAGCCTCTGACATACCCATTCACCAGATAAGGACAAGTATGCAACATCTTTAATTCAGTTTCTGTATTTGCAAAATGAAGATATCTCTAGGGTTAAAAGACTTTTTAAAATGCTTTCAGGAGACCAAGACTTTCCTATTCTCATCTTCATCATGACGGAATCTCAAGTTAGACTGAGACTGACCCGTGCAAACCAAAATAACACTTACACTTCTTTCAACATGACACCAAAAACTATAAAATAAGAACACAATAGTTTACATCTTATTTCTTTTCCTTTTACAACTGAAATATTTATCTAGGTCAACACCTTCTCTCGTCCAATCTTTAACACACTAAGGAATTAGAAAAAGGATTACTGATGAGGCTCAAGCCTATACATGAAAATAAGTGAAGCTGCTATTTTATTCTATCTTATAATTTCACTTTCTTCCATCAGAAACAGTAATTCTGCACTTTTCCATGCTATCCCACCTCTCCATACACTATACAGTGAAATAATAGGTATGTGAGAGTGAAAAGGTCAATTGAAATTCTGCTCTTCTGTCCCAATAGCGAGGCCATTTAGCAAATAATATATATCAGTAAAACATCTACCTCACATACCAATTTTGCAAATTCCATTCCCTTGGAGTCTACCAGGCACGCAAGAAGAGAGCTGGGACAGGGATTTTATGGAATGGGCCTGACAGATGGAGTAAACCAGACATTCCCAGACCAGCCAGAGCATGCAAGAGATAAAAAATTCAAGGAGTGTTTTGAAAAACATGATGTAAAAAGTACCCCATGGAGAGGAATTCGGATGTGAAAAGGTAAAAGACCTTAAACCAATTTTGGTCAATAGAGTTTCAGAGTTTCAGTCCCAGAAATCATATTTTTCTGCATGCTTACACAAAAGACCCCAGGCCAACTGAAGTTAGAAAAGAATAACAGCTTATTACCATTATTTTTATAAATTTCACATCAGGTAGAACTGATCTTCTTCACATCAGCTGCTGTCAGACTTTTATTTAGTTCATTAAAATATCTTGTTTGGTCAGTTCTACCACTATAATTTATTTTAAACATAGTGAAACCTTAACTAAAGAGGCAACCTGACATTAAGCAGCCACTTAAAAGCCTTTCCAGATTACCACTCCACTCTTTGTGGTGAGAGTTTGGGCACAGTTAAAGTTCTGAGCCAGATTCCACTTTCCCTTCATTTCTCAGATCACTTCAATGCAGACTCCAAACTCAGGCAGCACCACCACAGACATGTTACCGTCAGTGAAACCAGCCAAAACATGTCCTCTAGTTTGAGGTGGTCTTTTCAGCTAAGGTTGGGAAATGGCCCAAAATTGTGATCACTGTTCTGTTTTTTAAATCCCACTTCAAAGTCAAAAAGCTGATTTTCCTCTCTTGCTGCTTAAGGCAAATTTCACTGGATACACATATGGCGTAAGTGCCAAACCCATTTAGAGTTAAACGAACTTGCAAAACATACAGAGGCAGATTCTGTTGTTCTTACTCACTTTAAACAGCTAAACTAATGGGACTCCTCAACACAATTAAGAAAAGTAGGATCCAATCCAGAAAGAACATGCACATTTCATAGTTCAAAAACATACTCTGCACTGAGTACAGTGGCAATCTGGGGAGGCTTTCAAGTGGCTATTTAATGGACAGTTATATACATGAAAAAGCAGTAGGACAATCTTATTTCAGGATTTTTTCCAAACAACAACCACTTGCTAGACTAAATTTTATTATTTATCCAAAATGTTTTTTAGCTGGGGGAAGAACATTCAAGATGTTCTGGGGAATCAAACTGTAAGTATTAATTCTAATGGAAAATAGCACATTTTAATACTAGGTTAACACAAAACATGACTGCAAAATACAGGTAACATTCATCAGCTATGTTTTTCAAAGGAATTTCAGAAAAACAGAGTGCAAGGATCTTCCTGAGAAAATTTATGTCGCTTAGTCCTTAATATCCATATATATTTAGAAATAAACTGATAACTACAGATTAATGATCTTTTTAAAACATCCGGTAAAAACACCGTTCGAATCAAGAGCCCGAAGGGGGAAGGAGGAAAGGGTTTGTTTTTGTTTTTGTTTTGTTTTTCCAGAAGCAAGCCGACAGCCAGCAACTCCAAACCCATCCCGCGGGAGGAGCGGGGCAGGTGCCTGAGGGCACCGCCCGGGACTCGACTCACCGCCCGTCCCGCCGCGGCGGGGATGGCTCCTGCCGACACCCCCACGGGGGTCCGCCGCCCCCCCGCCCGGCAGTCCCTCCTCCCTCCTCACCCGCTGCTCCTCCTCCATCACTTCCTCTCCCCGCTGCTCGCTGGCCCCTTCTCCCCTCACCTCAGCCCCTTTTCCTCCCCCCTTCGGTACGTCCCCAGCCCGCCCCGCCTCGCCCTCTCGCTTCTCCACCCCCCTCGCCTCGCCCCGCGGCTCTCACCCTCCCGGGCTTTCAGCAGCACCGTGTTGGCCACGATGTTCTCGATCTCCATGGTCGGGGGCTCCTTCCCCTCAGGGCAGCCGGAGTGGAGGCCGCCCCTACTGCCTCCTTCGCCCCCTCCTCCAGCTCCGCCACCGCCGCGACGCCAAGTCTCCGCTCATCCGGCCCCGCAGGACCTCAGCGCTGCGCTCGCCTCTTCCCCATCACCCGCTGCTCGCCCCGGCACCGGCCTCCCCCTCCCCGAGGGCGGAGGCAAGGAACAGGCAGCAACCGCCCGCCCCGACCATGGCTCAACCGCCCGCCTCAGCCAGCTCCGCCCCTGCGCGGCTTCCCCCACCCCGTTCCTTGGGACTACAACTCCCAGCAGGCAGAGCGCGGAGTGCCCTGGGGAGGCGCGAACGGCTGCCGCGCGGCGCCTGCTAGGAGTTGTAGTGCGCTAATCGCTTTCCCGGCCTCCCCCCCGCCGCGTCCCACAGCGGGCGGGGAGAGGGGTGGCAGATCTCGCGATATCTGGGCGAAGCTCTCGCGAGAGGTGCGAGGAGGTTGGTGTCGTAGTGCTGGCGCACGCCGGCGTGAGGGGAGTGTTGTTACCGCTCCGTTCTTTTCCCCGCGTCCCCCCTTGGTTTTCACGGGGTTTGGAGGGGAGTTCTCGCACGACTTGGCACCGCGTCGGAGGGCAGTGGTCAGGCCCAAGGGCTGGTTCTGGGGGTTTTGCCTCCCCCTCCCCCCCCCCGGTGCCATTTTCTTGGGCCTGTTTGCACCTCCAGCCTTGGCCCCTACATGCCGAGTGAGTACTGAGCTTCTCCTTCACACATATCCAGGCAGGCAGCCACACCAAGAATGGGGAAGACAGCTAAGCGGAAGCGAAAAGTCTCAGCACCCTCTGCAGCCAAGGGCCTTGTCAAGTCAGCTATGGCTGTGGTCAAGAGCAACCCCTTTGAGGTGAAGGTCAACAGGCAGAAGTTTAACGTCTTGGGGAGGAAGACCAAGAACGATGTGGGGCTACCTGGCGTCTCACGGTCCAAGGCCATAAAGAAGGTAAGAGGTTATAAGTTGGGAGGAAGGATGGCATCTGTGGGTATGGCTGTGGAGAGGTGGTAAGCCTGGAGCCATCTCAGGTGAGATAAGAGATTACCTCCCTTGTGCACAGGAGGAGTGGCTGGTCACTTCACATTGCTCAGATGGTGATGGAGAGCCTGCTGAAAATGTCTCCCTCCAATGCAATCCCCAGGATTCGGTGGTGCAAATCTCCCTTATCTCATGTGTGGGAATGATTATCTTTTCAAATTACCCAGGTCCAGAATACAATGGGACATGTTGTCAGCAAGCCAGTACTGGACCAGAGCGGAGGTGGTTGTTAGTTTTCATTATGTTGGTCAGTTTTGGTTGCTACAGGATGCTGAGCTTGATAATGGTGCAACATTACTGCAATAGTGAAAGCTTGAAAGGGCACTAAGGTCTCAATACAGTGAGAAATGTGTAGATAAAAAGAAACTACCGTTGATTTGGAAAACATGCAGATGACTTTTTGTGCATTGGTTAAATAATTGTGTTGCAGATCTATGTTGGGCTGCAAAGTAATGATCTGTCCTCATTGCTCTCATAAGAATGATCATACAATTTCAGAAATCTTTTACCTTCTACCTTAGACCCTTATACTACTTTAAAATTGCCTCTTTCTTTCTACTGACATCCCTAGCCACCTGACCAAAATCTGTAATGCATAAGGGAGAATGTTGTGTCATACTATGCATCTGGGATTCTAGCAACCTCTTCTATCCTTGAGTGAAGCACTGGAATTTTCTGTCATCTCTTCCTTCAAACAAATCAGGAAAGAAGTTGAAACCTCTGTAGACTCTGTTAAAGCTGAAAAAAGCATAATTTGAATGTATGCCTCTCAGATTCTCTCTGAGATGTTACATGCAATCTATTGTCAAACAGAATTTAAAGCACTTACTGAAAGGAGTTCTTTTTAAATATAGTGCAGCAATAGGAAATGGATAGTTTATCATTTTGCATGTGTTGTGAGAGGTGATGCAGTGAATAATTATATGTCAGTGAGAGAGGACATCAGATAATTGACAATGTAGTTTTCTGTATCCGAGGTATTAAGAGATATTAAAATTCATGCACAGTGTTTAAGCTGCATGATAATTTATATACTCTGTGCAAAAAGTAAAAAAAAAAAAAAAAAAAAAAGGTAGAATTGGAATAGTAGGAGATGAAACCTGAGTTATGGTGTCAGTTACAGTGGCTTCTGAAAGTTGTGAATTCTCAGTGAGGCTGCAGAGGCCTGTTGTAGAAAACTCAGCCTTTTCCTTCAGTCCAGCAGTTTGTGAGGTCATGGTAATATGAATAACAACAGTACCTTTCCATAAGATTCAGTTAATGTGTTTTAAATAAACATGGATTTTTTTCAGCCTAAACACAGCCAGCATTTTCTTCCTTTAGACTGAACTATATAATATCTTCAGCATGAAATTATAAATAAGCTTTGAGTCTTCATTACAGCTTTTCCAGATTTTAGAAAACATTATGAGTGTTTAATATCACATTTTAAGGCCTTTATTTTTTATTTAATAGTAAGGTAAGTCAGATACTTGTCATGAATTACTGCACTGGCATTGGAAAGTAAATCTGTTTCCTCACTTGTACCATAAGTGCAGCACATACTACCTCGTATAGGTCTGCTAAATACCCGTTTATTCCTTTGATGCATAACCTGCCTGTGCTCAACACTAAAGCAGAGTGCTAAATGTATGTGCCAACTTGGGGATTTTTATGTTTTAGATGAAGACCAGAAGAGGTTCAGCTGACACTGGGGCTTTTTTGCTTTCTTTAATATGTTACTCATGTATACTAAGCTTCAGACAAATCAGAGCTCCTTAGTGGCAATGCAGAGTTTTTCTGTGTGATAAAGTCAAGGTGAAATACAGTGTACCATATTTTATCTTCATATGCACAGCTTATAAGAGAACCTAAAGACTCTGAACATATTATATGAGCTTCCTGTCTCTTCTTTTCATTAATTTTTCCTTGTCCTTCATTGCATTCTGATAAATTAGATTATGTTGCCAGAATACCATGAAGCCTTTTTTTTCCTTGCCTTTAAAAGTAGTTACTCTCTTTGGTTTTTAATTTATTCTTTTTTTTCCTTCTAGCGAACCCAAACATTACTGAAAGAATATAAAGAAAGGGAAAAGGCAAATGTATTTAAAGATAAACGTTTTGGTGAATATAACACCAAAATAACTCCAGAGGAAAAGATGATCAGACGATTTGCTTTGGAAAGACAGGTAAAGTATAAGAAATTTTTAAAAATTTAAAACCCCAAGCAAAAAAACCCAAACCTACAAGAAGCACTGGACTTTTAAGTTGGGAGCGTCCCCCTTAAAAGAGGGTTTTGCAGGTCAGCGCTTTCTTTTTGTTTTTATATGTTTGGGACTTTTATGAAAAAGCATTTTTTTGTGGGAATCCAAAATTTTTCATTAAAACTTTCTGGTTTTAGAGGACAGCTTTTTGAAGAAGAAATTTCTTTGAGCACAAATATGGAAGAAAGCCAGTTTTACACAAATTTATTGATTGATTGGTTTTCTTTGACTTCTTTGACTGCTATAGTTTGAGAATTGAATTGGGAAAAGGCAACCACCATGAAGTACACTTTGAGATTCCAGTACAGCTTTTGAACAGCAGCCGTTTAATTTGCTGGCTAGAAAAACTCTGTAACTTGCTGCCATTCTGTAATGTGATTTGTATGTGCAGTACCATTCTTTCTGCCTCATCGTACTCAGTATCTAGAATTGAGTAGTGTAATATCATATTTTATTGATAATTTGTATGGGTTGAAGTCTGTTTCATTAGGCCTAAAATGTAGTAATTAAGAATTGATTTTACCGATAAATAGATAAAACTTAAGATTCTTTAGGTTTTCTGAGTTACTCCATTGCTACATATGTATAAGAGAGACATCATACTACCTCACTTAAGGTTTAATGTATTTGAATTAAAGTATTGGTCTGGTAGTGCTTTTATTCCAGTGCTCTGTTTCAGCAGAACACTGGAATAAGAATCTCCTTGACTACCATTAAAAATACATGCTTTGTTGATTTCTTGCCTGGGAACTAAAAATCTTTTGTTATTTAATTGGTTTGTTTTACTATTAGCAAAATTATGGAAAGAAGAATATCTATAATCTTAATGAAGATGAGGAATTGACTCATTATGGACAATCTTTGGCAGAAATTGAAAAACTAAATGATATTGTTGATAGTGACAGTGACACAGAGGAAAGAGGAACACTGTCAGGTAAGACATGTCAGCTAGTATCCCACTGCTGGCTTTATTGTTGGTACATATACATCATTTGTTCAGTACTGTCTTTTGGTGAGAAAGAGTATTACATAATTGGGATCTTTAAGCCAGATTTGATTACTTCTTAACCACACACAGAACAGCTCTCTAGATTTTAGCAGATATTAAGCTGGAACTGCCAGGCAAGCTTCTTTAATCTGTGGGCTTTTCAGCATACATAGGTACCTCTATTTTGATCTCTTTGGGCAGAATCTGAAGTGTGAGTTTTCGGGTTGCTTTCATGTACCCCTGCACCTAAATACTAGTTAAAATATGAAAAAAGGGTGTTTCTACCTTGTTGTCCTGGTTTTGGCTGAAATAATTTTCTTCCTAGTAGCTGGTACAGTGCTGTGTTTGGATTCAGTGTGTGAATAATGTTGATAACATACTAATGTTTTAATTGTCGCTCAGTAGCACTTATCCTCAGTTAGGGAGTTTTCAGTTTCCCCTGTTCAGCCAGCGAGCATACCATAGAACATCATGCTCAGTATATAAACTGGGAGGAGTTGGCTGGCGGGGGGCAGATTGCTGCTCAGGCATCAATCGGTGGGCGGTGAGCAATTGCATTGTGCTTCACTTGTCTCTTCTTGGGTTTTATTTCCCTCTCTTTTTGTTATATTCCTTTTCATTACAATTGTATTAATATATTATTGTTGTTGTTATATTTTGTTTTAGTTATTAAACTGTTCTTATCTCAACCCATGAGTTTTACATGCCACTGGGAACAGGGAGGCGAGAGCAGGCGGCTGTGTGGGCCTTAGTTGCTGGATGGTGTTAAACCACAACACTTGCACAAAATAATTGTCAGCGTAAATTATGTGTCTAGCATCAATCTCTTTTGGTATGGCCATTCCCATAGGGATGGGAATAGCACGAGTGGTTCAGCAGTTTTAGTTGCTCCCATTCTCAAAGAATAGGGAGATAGCAG